TTCAAAGTACTTCTGAGGCTTGGTTTACTGTGAATTTTGTCCCGTTCATTACATGCTTGATTTTATGTTACAGTCAAAAGACAGTCTGATAGCATCTAGTCACCTTTTCTAATGAGTGTTTTTTTCCCTTTAGGCAAGTATTTTAATTACTTAAAGGCAGTAATAATGTTGGTAGATACATGTATTGTTAAATTCTTGAGTTTATCTGACAAATTTCTAAGCATATTCAAAGTGTATATAAAGAGAAACTGGAATGCAATGGTGTTTGATTAATCAGTGTATTGTTTCTCTCTATACAGATACGTGTACAATTGTTTAATAGAAAAAAGATGCTGTTGGCCACTTAGCAGAAAGTCTGACAATCCATTTTTAGACATCGAGAGCATTATTAGACATGAGCATATAAGGTCTGAGAATTTATGCTTACTGCAGTTTATGAAAGCACACCATCTATTATTGCTCTGTATTGTCTTCAATTAGGGTGCTTCACTCTGGTGCAGTAGCAGACAGAATTTATGAAAGGAAAACTGCTGTTAAATATTGCTAGGGATCACACAATAACCATTACACTTCCTGCAAACGGCTCATGTATGGTATTGGTATTTATTGGTACAAACTGTACTGTACTCTGCACTGAAACATGAGGCATTTAGTTGGATTTTGTTTCTCTGAATCAGTGGGTTTGTATCTTCAGTTTCTTGAAGTTTCCATTTCTTGAATGCTTTTGCCTGCATTCTCATTCAGGTACTATGAGGCATAGTTTGAGGACGTGTATTTGGGTCGATCTAAGTATCTGACCTGATCATTTGCTTCTTTCTTTTGGAATATGCTGGAACTCCCAGGGTGTAGTTACACAGTAACCTTTGAGCTGGAGGTTGTCACAGCTAGATATTGGAGAACATAGAGAAAGTTAACATTTTAATGGGACTTTAGTGGGGTGTGAGGGGGTAGGAGGTCAGTGGAAAAGCAGTGTGTAATATCTGTTGGTTATCCCTTTATCCCTTCTGATTCTCTCTTTCAGATACGAGGTCTGTGTCACATGCAGTTGGTGCATCTTTGTGGTAGTTGGGCATTTAGGGAAAGAAGTAGGAAACAACCCTCTGAAGCACCAGTGTACTATGAAAAGAATATATTAAATATATCTGCTTAGCTTTTAATTTTTTCACGTCAAAACACCAGGCTGTCAATGTTTCAATCATAAGCAATACAAAACAAATTTCAGTTTCAGAACTTGTGGCTTACGTGGCAAGGTCAAAACAGTTTACAAAACAGCTCAGGCCAAGCCTGTCCTAAACTTAAACTGCCATTAGCAGAATCTTGGGTTGTGCCAATCTTCTAGCTTATAGTATCATTAGCATTATTTATAATAAAAAAAAAAGTACCAATTAAGGTTTAAAGGTCATGTTGCTTTGTATAAAAAATACTGTCTGTTACCAAGGTCTACTTCCAAAATAAATTAGCCTTCTAAGTAGTTAGATGGAAGAGGTTTTTTCATCATGTCTGCCCTATGTCTTAATGCAGCTTGAGATTCTGTAATAGTCAGCAGTCAGACTCAATGTTAACAGACAGCTGAGAGGTCAGGACCCTGTTCATACTGATCTTCTTTGTAATAGATCTTGCTAATAGAAATTGAGAAATAGCAAAGATATTCTCAGTCATATTCAGTGCTCAGCATCCTGTCAATTAGTACAGAAGTAAAGGATACTGGAAGTTTTAGAAACTCAGTCTCTAGAAGTATTTTTTGCTGTTCTCAGTGTTGATAGATAGGTCACAGCAAAGTAGTGTTGCAGATTTTGTGGTGGGGAAAAAGCCAGTGGAGATGCAGTTGCTGTGGTTGTAGTTGCTTTAGAGAAGTGTGGTATGCGTTTGATGCATATAAATATATTAACAATTGTAGTGAGTGCATTTGTCAAAATGCTGAATTGCAAAGGGAGAAGGTATGAGTCCTTTTAGGTGGTGGGGAGGAAGGGAAAAACGTGGTGCTGTATAGTGGGCTTTTTGCACTGATTCCAGTTTACTTAAAGTTCATTTCTACTATTTGCAGGCAAGTGGGGAAAAGAACAGTGTTAGTGCTTAGTTCATGTATAAATAGAAGGAATACTGTTTCTAGTTATTTAGTGAAAACTACTTGAAGAAGATTTTGAAATGACTGTTGATCTATAATGCCACAAACATTCAGCAGATTTGTTTTTTTCCTCCTTGAAAGGTTTTCAAACTCAGGTATGTTGCACTAAGAATGAAACTACTTCTATATGAAAGTAAATGAAAAGGAGAGTCCTTAAGGTTTTGGGAAAGTAATGTTAGAGATTAATTTTTAAAGAGATAGAATTACTAGATCAGTGGTTATCAGAATGGTCCATGGTGATACATGACATGCAATAGGTAAGTCTGTTGTTGCTATGTGAGGATCTGTGGTTTCACTGGCTTGCCAGCTGAGGAATGTTGATAATTGCTAGATGGAGAGCATCCTCAAACTTCTGAGAATTGCAGATGTAGTTTAGAACATTTTAAATTTCTTTTACTATCTCACTAAAAAAATGTCTGCATCTGGCAGAAGAAGGATCTTAAGTCTGATTTTTACAAAAGAGTGATGGTACAGGGTTAGATCTGATAAGGTAGCCTGTATTTATCTCTGGCATATTTGAAAACTGGTATGTAGACATATATGGTTTCTGCAGACATGGTTTTTGGACCCTTTCAAAATAAAACTGAGAAGGTAAATAATACAGGACAAAATACTAAGGGAGAATGTATGGAGTGTGGAAGGGCGAGTGTAGGAATTACCTTTTTCTATAAACATTGAGGTGCAGCATAGCAGACCTAGTTGCATAGTTCTGTAATTTCTTAGGTAACTGATCCTTTTAAATCTATTGCATGTTCCTCTGTCCTCCTTGTTGCTAACATTGACTTTCCTTTGAGAAAGTCAGGGGACTAATTGGTGTTACACCCTGGCCAAAAATAATCTTCTCTTCCTACAAAGTTCTTTACTCCTGTCTCTTCCCTGAGGATTTTTCTGTACTTGATAGTCACTGTGACTTAGTTTCAGCTTCTGTGTAATGAAACACAGTGCATCCCAGCACCTTTTCCCCTCCTTTCTCACAGTGCTCGCTGATGTTTTTTTCATCATGTGGTGGTTTTTTTTCTTGCTTATCTGCTTTCTCAAGGTGATCTTGCTAGCTGCAGAATCTCACCCCCCCCACCTCACAGTGCTACTGCTTTATCTACCTGTAAAGCCTCCTTTGCTCATTTGTGACTGGAGCCAGTTCATCATTTAGATCCAAATATTTAGTCTGTGTGTATGTGTGTTTTATTTACTGTATTTCATTTAATGGGATGGATTTTATACTGGCATCACTTCAGTTGCTGAGCACTCGTGCTTCTGTCAGTCTTGCTGCAGGAAAGGTATAATCTGTTTTTAATTCTAGCTAGTGTGTATCTTCAGACACCGTGCTGTTTGAGTAGTTGTCTGAAGGAGAGGTGATTCATCTGGGATATGAAAATGCTGTGGACAATAGTTAGTCTGCAGAAGGTGTCAGCTAATGTGTATATATATATATATATGGCATAAAAGGAACTGTGACCTAGAGCACATGGATTTTAATGTGTCTATGCATAATAGTATAAATTTTAGCAGTAAATAAGGTCAGCTTTTCTCTATTGCACAGAGCACAACCAAGTGAGGAGTTGCTTATTTGGGAGCTAGGTTCCTCAAGACCATGTGCAAGAGTGAGTGCCAGTCCAATTCCCTTCTAAGGTGGTTTCTGATAAAAATGCAGAAAACTGTTTCAAATTGTAATTCATGAGGTAAAAAAATCATTTTTGTGAGAAATAATTTTTGATTTGGTAGCATGATGTATGTTACAGACTCTCTGACATGGTTGTACAATATGTCTGGTTTGAGATTAGGTGATTTTCATTAAGTCATAGTTTCATTCTGCTGCATGTATGTTAGAATACTGAGATTTTAAGAAAATGTTCAGCTGTGGTGTTAACTTTCTTAAATACTTCCTCTGTTTCCTATTCCTTGGGGATTTTTTGAGTTTTTTGGTTGTTGGTTTTGTTGTTGGTTTGGTTTGGTTTGGGTTTTGGGGTTTTTTTTTTTTGTTAGCCGTAGTTTAGCAGAGCTCTCCTGTTTATTTGTATTTTCTGGCCAGTTTCAGGTAAAACATCAGAAGCAGTCTCTGACTGACAAGGTTCCTTGCTCTTACTTAGGGGAAATTGATAAACGGGTAACAAATGACAATTTGCTTTGTATATTACATTAATCAGTTTTAGGAGTGTGTCTTCTTGTATTTGCTGTTTTCTGGGCTATATCTGTTCTTTTTGTTTTTCAGTTGAGTTGTCTTTATGTGGCCATATGGAAAATCTAAGTAGTGCACTCCCTGGTTTTAAAAGATCATGAACCGAGCATTCTTCAAAAGAAGTTTTAGATGTGGCTGATTATTAAATCCTTCTGCTGATCTGCCTTTTTCATGTTATCTCTTTTCTTCTTGTCCTTTCCCAATGTGTACTAAAGAGAAATACTACCAGAGAAAGTGAAATTCCAAGTAAAAAATTAAGAATGTGTCCTTTGTCTCCATTAAAGTTTTCGTGTGTTCATTTGGAGTTCATTGCAACTTAGATTTCTGAACTAATGTTACTGGTAAATACAGGTGTCCATTGTATGACTAGAAATTTAAGGTGATGTTACTCATAGAAGATACTAGGAAATTTGATGACTTGGTGTTAGGAGCATTATTTTTTGAGCTTAAAAAAAAGCATTCTTGAATAAAGTGTTCAGACCTCTGACCTATGGCTATATGACAGCATGACCTAAATAGAGTTATTTATCATACTGAAGCTGCCGTTTCCAAAATAAATTCTTATATTCCCTCCTAAAGAGATTTTTAATGATAACCCTTTCAAAGAAGATTTTTAATGATACTTGTATGGAAATAAAGTGAAATTGTGCATGGAAATTATGTCAGGTGTGGGAATAATAGTTAAATTTCTCTTTTCAGTATGATGCTGTTCCAATCCAGTCAAGCGTGGTGTTATGCTCCTGTTCATCCCCTTCAATGGTGAGGAACCAAGCAGATTCCAGCACTCCATCTGTCATTTCCACTTGTGGCAGCAGACAGGGATCTAACATGGAGGGAACGGCACCTGAATCAAGATCTAATTCAAACTCCTTGCAGCAACATACAGGACAGCAGCCTCCACAGCCTCGAAAGAAACGACCTGATGACTTCAAATTTGGGAAAATTCTGGGTGAAGGATCTTTTTCAACGGTAACTTCACTTTTTATAAGAATTGACAGATATCTTAGATAAACTTGAAAATTTGTTGTGTAAGATTGAGATTGAAATGTGGAGAGAACAGCTTGAAGAGTAAATTAATAGGGCATAGTGGATTTGAGCTTAACTATTAAAATTAAGTGCCACCCTAAATATGGGTGGTGAGTTGTTTTTTTTAAGCTCCTTTTAAATTGATCAAAAGTCCTGTTGTATCCAATGACTTGATGCTTGGATATTCAGTCAACATTGCTTTCTAATGTGATCTAAATGTGATAGCTATAATAGGTTATGTAAAAAGTTTGATATAAAGGATTGGAACTGGTCTAGCAGCTTGTGGTAAAAACTATGTGATGTCCTGTCTATGGCAGGAGGTACTGCCAGATGCTTTTGAAAGAAAGAACACTGATACTTCTCCAATATTCTTTCTCAGCCTCTGGTCCTTGAGGACTTAGTGAATCACAGCCAGTATGTTTGTGTTCAGTAGCCTTAAATGGTTTGTTTCTCACATCCATGGCACTGCACAAAAATAAATTACTTAAGTATTACCCTAATGAATCCATGAAGCAATTAATACTTTCATTTTATGGTTCAGTAGTTTCCCAGCTGTAAGACAATAATATTTCCATATCTTTTTCATATTGATTTGGTTGTAGGTCACTGAATGTTGGGGTTTTCTAGTTCTTACAGTACAGCTTACTGCCGTGTTTAGGATGCAGGCCTCTAGTATCCACCAAGAGTAATTTGTATAACTTGCAGGTTTCCCTAAAGAATCTCCAAGAGAGTCATTGTAGTTTGGGTATACTAGGACGGTTTGCTTCAGTAATACACTTTTCATTCTTCTTTTGGTCTCTGAAAGTTAATGCCATGTTCTATTTAGTAGAGAAATACATAGGGCTTAGCTCAGACTCTGAATAAACTTTTGTCCAGCACTCTGCTACCTGTCTCCCTGGACTGCAGCACAGCCCTCTGAAGTATCAACTTCAGAGCATTCGATCTGTGAGGCATGTATCTTTATGTTGTTCTCAAAACATCTTGTTAAAAAGCTTATTATTTGTTCATATTAAACATGATTGTAGACTCAGAGATCTGACTGTACTCTGTAAGATCCTCACCAATATGTTAACTGAAAAGTGTTTATCGTAAGCAGCAGGGTTCTTCATATTACCTGTATCCAATGACAGCTTCAGATTAAAAAAATATTTTGTTCAAGGTCGTAATTAATATGTTCCATTTTCTTTGACTTCTGTTAAGCTACCGCAAACTCTTACCTGGTTCCAGGGCTGCATTTTAAATTCAACAGAGACAGACATGATGCGGCTTCACGGTTTTTCTTCAGAGCACTCTCCAATTTCGTGGGATCTTCTTCTGCAGCTGCAACTTCTTGGGCCCATGCTTGATATAAACAAGCACACAAATGCAGGCCCTTCTACTTTTGTTCTGCTCTTTTACATTAATGAACATCTATTTGCTTTGTAGACAGCTTCAAGCTTCTTTCAGAATGATATCTGTTATGTGGTGGAAAAATTGTAATTCTTATGATTGAGGAGGCATGTTGTGTAGCTCACCTCTTTCTATATGGTGGGTACATATATATTCCACCTTTGTTTTGTCACCACCTATAAATGAGGCCTTTCTCAAAAACAGGAGCTCTAAGGAAGTATGATTGTCTGACCAAAACCAGTTTTTAAATGCAGATTTAATCTGGCAGCCTTGAAGTATTTGTTCAAGTTTAAAGTGGGGCTTAGTCATGATGTATCCAGGTATGTTGGCAGTTATTTCTGCTTTGTAGCCTCTAGGGGTTCTCTACCTATCTCCCCTCCCTTCAATCTGGGATGTTTAACTACTTTTCTTGCATTGCTATTGTCTGAATTTACAGCCTACACATTTACATGTTCTGTGAATGCTTTTGTTTTTCTGTTAGTTTTACAGCTTTTTTTTTTTTTTAAGCTATCCAGCTAATGTCTAATTTCTTTCTATAGAACTTGCATTCCTTAGTGATATTACTTCTTCCCATAGGGTAGATAAGATTCAGGTTCCTCATAAGAGACGTTGTATTAATATTAACATGTGCCTCTGAGTGGGTTTTTTTGGTTTGTTTTTTTGGTATGGTTTTTTTTTTTTTCTCCTGTGCATGTCTACTGTGGGTAATACCTGTGAAATACAATGGTAAGAAATTGGACTGGAAGAGAGTCAGCCTTAAGCTTAATTTGCTAAGATATATTTTCATCTGTGTCAGCTGATCCCTTCTGCCATCTGAGTATGGTCTCTGTGTATGTGGGGTCTTATTTAATAGCTACCTTTTAAACTGGCCTCCTTTCAGAAGATTTCGTGGTAGATATGGTTGATGAAACCTAGCTACAAATACTAGAAAAGTTAATAACATTGTCATTCAACTGCAAATCAACACAATGTAGTGTTATGTGTGTAAACAGAAGGAACTCAAAAATCCTTTATGTAGAGATGCAGATGTTAACAGACTGGTTTTTAACATTTTTAATAGAAATTTTAATTTCATTTTCAAATACTGTAAACTTCAATGTGTTTTTAGGAGATGCAATTTTAAAGAAAATTAAGGATGCCTATTACTACTGAATTGAGGTCAATTTTCTAGTACTAAAGAGTGTAATTGCATGCATTTCTTTCATCTGAAAAAAGGCCTTATTTAGATTTCCTAAATACCTAATATTTAGCATCAGCTGTGTATAGTAATATTTTGGAGTACTCTTGTTATAACTGATTTTGCAAGGGATTAGAAGCAAGCCTGGTGCAGTGATTAAAAGAAATAGTATAAAGTTAAGATTTTAGCAAGCTGTTGAAATGGTATAAACTTAAAATGAGAAAAATAGAAAACTGCTCATCTGTTGTTACAAGGTTATTGATTCTTCCTCATGCAAGAGAACTTTTCAGACTGTCTCTAAAATTGCCTTTTATAAAGTTCTCTCTTGAAAATGAGCCTTGTATTCTTCCAAAAGCTTTTCTCTTTAAAAATCTAAACCTGCTTGCTTGAAATTTCATCCCTTGCTTCTACTAGTTGGAAATATTTTGTTCCTTTTATTTAAATCTTTTTCTTAACAAATTGTAAATAGTTGAAAGTTCTGTCTCACTTCTTACTTTTGCTCACTCAGATAAAGTTTATCTTTCAGTCTTTGCCATCTGCATTAAGGGAAATACTGTGACAATATTCCTCAGTGTACTTCTTGCTTTTTGTTCCCCTTGTTAGGAAAATTTAGCAGTTTACTTTGACTTACATTACAGTCTTCAGAATTCTTCTGGAAAAAAATAATTCAGTGTTACACTCTTACACGTGTCTTTTGGCAAAACAAACATTGGTCTACTGAACGGAGTTCTTCAGAAGTCTTGCTGAAGCCAGCATAATATGAACACATGCTTAAATATTTTGCTGTGTTCAAATACCTACTGGAAGATCAATATTAGTGTATGTGTTTAGTGGACAGTTTCAATATGTTTTCTTTCCTCTGGCAACAGGTTGTCTTGGCTCGAGAATTGGCAAGTTCTAGAGAATATGCCAGTAAGTATTGACTCCTTTAACGTGAACTTTTTGAAAATATGGTATCAATGTAGTCCAGTTACAAAACACCTGTTGAAGTAACGTAATTAGTGGTTTCATGTTAATTATATGTAACCAAAAAACTCCAAAACAAGATGGGCTTCATTTACTTGTACCTCTTGCATTTTTACTCTCTCTTTTTTCATTAAGTTAAAATTCTAGAAAAACGTCATATCATAAAAGAAAACAAAGTACCATATGTGACACGAGAGAGAGATGTAATGTCTCGTCTGGATCACCCTTTTTTTGTGAAACTCTACTTCACCTTTCAGGATGATGAAAAGCTATGTATCCTTTGCGTATTAAAACTCGTTGTAACACTTTAAGAGTAACAAGTTCCTTTCCTAACAGAAATTATGGAAATAACTTGAGGTGTTTAGACTATCCTAATGTATGTGATGCAATTTTTGTAGTCACGCTTTTAACAGAAATTAAGCAGATCAAATCAGTGGGCCCTCTCAAAGAAAAGAGGATGTCTTATGGGATGAGGGAGCAATTAAACAAAGTGTCTATTGAAGGGTGGCTTGTAACAATCCAAGTTTGAAATAATTTAAAAATTCTAAATCGGGAGGATGTATGGGAAGAGTTTTAGAAGTGTTTTATTCATGATATATATATGTGTGTGTGTATGTATCTATCTGTAGTAAAACACAGTAATTTCTGCATTTAAAATAGGATAGCCAGCTTTGTTTCCTACTATTTTAATTTCTATAATTAGAGCTATTATTACTTTATTACTTTTTTTTTTTTTTTGTGAAGATGAAGGTACTTAGAGAATAATCTGGATCCTCTGTTTAGGCTACTGCTTCCCCAGCTCTCTCTAGCAGTAATTGCAAAGTGCAGTTTCATCCTGGAAGCTCATTGCTTGGCAGTTGGCTTTTATCTTTTTTTTTTTTTTTTTTGACCTTGTGAAGAAAATATTAATTATGTGAACTTCCTCTTAAACCTTCTGCTTGGAATTGGCTGTGCCAAGCGTAAAGGTTTAGATCAGTCTATTTCTGGGGTCAGTAAGTAGTTTTCTGGTTTCCCCATAGGCTGCTAATAGTGCTGGCAAGCCATATATATCATAAAGTATGAGCTCACAGGGCTTCTTTTTGTAGTGTAAACACTTGCTCTGGTACTTTCCAGGTGATAGGACAATTTTTTACTTCTATCAGTTATTACTGTAAATAACTTGCTTTGAGGGCAATTATGTATGTCATTTAAATTAATTATTTAGGTCACTCTGGAAAAACTACAAAGGTAACCCTTTATGTAGCTTTTGCTATGCTAAGAAATTTGGACCCATGTCCTGGGTTGTTAATATATTTAAGAAATTATTTGGCGTTGCTGCTTAAGTCTCAAATTAACCAACTTCTTCCCTGTTGTTCATGTATTTTTAGTAGTATTCATCTCTTTGGAATAAGATGTGGAGATTTTTGTTTTAGAGTGGCTTAGAGATAAACCTTAACTAAGTTACATTCAGATTTTGGACTTAGCTATGCCAAAAACGGGGAGCTGCTAAAGTATATACGCAAAATTGGCTCATTTGATGAGACCTGTACAAGGTTTTATACTGCTGAAATTGTATCAGCCCTGGAGTATTTGCATGGCAAAGGAATAATTCACAGGTAATACAAAGTTGAGACAGACATGCAGTTGATCATGTAAGAAGTGGTTTTTTTTTCTAGAAATTTTCTTTGTGAAGTTAAAAGCAAAGGTGGATTTTGTGGAAATCTAAAGAGAGCACAAATTGCATTTGATCACCTCTAGCACAGTTAACATCAGTAGCTAAACATAGCAAACCTGAGGAGGACAGCCAATCACTGTTGTACCAACTGTTGGAGCAGGAAAAAATAAGAAAACCTGGCCTGGAGTTAACATTACCAAAAGCTTGTGTTTAAAGCTTCATCGGTTGGCCTGAAAACCAGAAACTGACTTTTTTGTTTACTTTTTTTCCTGTGCTGTCCTGTAGCAAAAGTAACTAGAATTCTTTTTGTGTTTGGCTTAATGTTTACTATATAATCAAATAGAATTAATCTGTATCAGTTTTTATTGAGTGAAAAATTTCCACAAAGCTGCACAATAATCGGTAAGTGGTGAAATCAGTAAAGTTTTGAGTGGTACTTTCAAAGTTGTTCTTGATGTAATATATTGTTTGGATAATCATGTTTTGTCATTCATGTTTATTAAATAAAGCATTAAGTACTAGACATTTGAACTGCAGAACTTCTTTTTGGGGAAGAAATCTATTGTGTCTAGGTTACCAAGCAGTTGTTATGGGACACTAGATGCTGTTTGGCAAAAAGCTGACTGATTACAATTCTGATAGCATTATTTCTTTCAAGTTATTACAAAAACAGTTTTTCCTTTTAAATACAAGATTCTGTGAAATAATTTGAATTAGAATCTAAGCGGGGGGTGGATATGGAGAATGCTGAAAGCATAAGATTTTCTATGGGGGTGGCAGGGGGGGTAAGTTCAAGAGCTCCCAGTTTCACATTGATTTTACAGTTCATGTGTTTAGGCTGAGAGAATGCTTATAAAATGAATGCAGAATGACTGTTAGTGTTACTAAGCCTGTATTGTAAACCTTATATTGGAGAAGAGCTGCTTTATATTTGTTTCTATATGCGGGACGTAACGAGGAGCTCAAAAGAAAACGGAGAAATTGTGCAGTTACAGAACTTAGTATGAAGTTTAGGAGGATACAGCTCTAGCAATGCCTGAAAACTCTTGGGATGTTTTGCTGCCTGAAGAAATAGGACATGGGATAGAATCACTTTAAGATGTCAAGCTACCCTGGAAAATTTATTACCGATATCTCTCTGTATCTAGATATATATCCATAGATCCATAATCCAGTATTAATGTAGGTATACAATATATTATATAAACAGTATATATAAGTGTGGATGGAGCACAATATATCTACTTACATACATACCTTAATAAAGCCCTACACAGAACTGTTAGAAGGGTCCCTTCCATTTCTGTACTTTCTACTTCTCTCGTAGGACAGGCAAAAGAAAATCAACAGGATTTTTATGGCTTGTTGCTCTCTGTGCTCATTTCCAGACTTTGAACTGTACAACTCATACTTTTCCATAGTAGCGGGCTTTAATCTGAAGAAAATAATGCTGCACAGTGATTGACAGAGATAGTTTTCAGTTTTTACTGTTTTGTTCTTACCAGTCAAACAAAACAACTCCCATGTTCCTAGATTTCTTTAGGAAAGCATTCAGAGCTTCTGCTTAGAAAGGAAGTATGTAGGGGTTTTTTTGGGTCAGCTAAGGAAACTTGATGCAAAGGCATATCATATCAGTGTAACTGAATGCTCTTAAGTTGTTTCTAATGCACCTATTGACATCTAACTCTGTACTGCTCTGTACTGTTGTGTTTTTGATACTATGAAGCCTGGTTTTATTCAGAATCAGAGGCAGTATCTATGCAAATGGTAGGCATGCATTTAAAATGTAGATTATGCATGGAGGTGATACACGGTTCTTACCTGGACAGGACATTTAGCTGGGGCTGGGTTTGTCAGTGTTTAACTAACTGGAGTTTTCCACTGAGGAAACAGATGTAGAAAATCTTAATGCCATATCAATCTGTCAGATGTTATTTAAATTAAGGCTTTGGAGTGAAGGGGTTTAGGGTTTTGTGTGTGTTTTTGTGAGATGGGGACTTTGTTAGGATTTGTTTTGGTTTTTGTGTCAGTTTTGCTTTTTAAAATTTTTGAACATGTGACATGCACATTAGCCTAGTTTTGAGCTTGATGTTTTAAAAAAAAATGTTAATTAATGGATTTACCAAAATCTGTTAGTCTGCAGGTTGACAGCTACAAGTTAGAGAAGTTGTTGTAACACTGCTGATAGAATGTCTGCATCATTTATTGTAGCATTATGTATCCAAGTCACTAGACAGTTTTTCAACTTTATTTGTATGTTGTTTGAATATAAAAATTTGTCTTTTGCAGGGACCTTAAGCCAGAAAACATCTTATTAAATGAAGATATGCACATTCAAATAACAGACTTTGGAACAGCAAAAGTATTATCTGCAGATAGCAGACAAGGTTTGCCATTATTCATTATGTGACACAAATAATTATAGCAAGTAATCCTTTGAAAATGTGCATATGTTGTATTCACCAGATTGTAACCTTCAAATATCATTACCTCACCTAAATCACTAAAGGGTCTCGAAATAGTTTTGATTGTCACTACTTAGATTATGTCAGAGGAGGTAGTATTTGGTGTAGTGGAATACCAGCTAGATTACCAAATATACTGGGAAGCTAAACTACTTCACATTACTTAGTTTTCATTTGCAAGGCAAGAATACAAAGAAATTGGTACCATGGCTCACCTAATACAGTAAGTTTTAACTCCGCTTACATGTTTAACTCCAGTGGCTGTCAGAACTGCTCAAATGTGAAGGTTGTAGAACTAATGTGTCTTCAGTTGTTACTAATAGCCTGTAAATAGATGCTGGAAACAATGCCTGAAAAAAGTACTAGGCTGAACTTAATTCAATTGACTTTCTTTCTTGACTGTAGCAAGCTTATGTAGGTAGATTTTATAACTAAGTACGTACCTAATTGCCTAGCTTCTTGAATCAAATAGATATCACTGAGATTGATTAGTTTCTTCCAAGCAAGTTTTGTGGATAGGCAGAGAAGTTAAATTCTCATGCGTTCTTTGCAGCATTATGTAACTTGCAGTGGATTGCCTTTTGGGTTGCTTTTTTTTTAACCTGGGTGGGGACAGGGGAGGAAGGGGAATATTGGCTTATACATAAGTGTTTGCTTATTTCTTTCTATTTCCTTAATAGCACGGGCAAACTCATTTGTAGGGACAGCACAGTATGTTTCTCCAGAACTGCTGACAGAGAAATCTGCCTGTAAAAGGTGAGGACTATAATCAGAACTTTACTGACTCAGTCAGGAACCTGTCAAATGGAGAGGAATGGATAAATCAAGCAAGCAGGCTTAATATTTTAATGAAACAAGACGCTCGAGTATTTAAAGAGAGTTTGAAATTCATCTATGTTTTTGAGTTCTACTAACAGGATTAGGTGTTGTTGGAAAAGGAGGTATGTGTAAGGTGAAGCTGGATTTCTTGCCCATAAATATATCAGAAAAACTTTTTTCTGTTATCCAAGTAATTATTTTAATTACATTTTATATAAGATTGCTCAAATATGGTATTTCCTGCAGTAGTAACAATGGAATGTCACATGCTGTTCAGTTAAGGAGAAGGCTACAGTTTTCTTTGACTTGTATTTAGATCAACTTTAGATCTTTTCTAAACTGTACTTAGGATTTGCAACATTTTAAAGCTCATCTCTCTCTCTCTCTGTATGAATTATGCGTTTAAGAAATTTCTTAATGCATTAAAATTACTAGTTGATGGTAATCTACTGACTGTGTATACCTATTTTACTGCAATAATGGAAGAATAAGCTAGGCATTGACAAATCACAGGTAAAAAGGATCTTTTATGTGAACAGGTGTAGTAATTTGTGCTAGCATTTCTTGAAGTGATAGAGATACCATCATGTCGCTGAAGGACATGAACATGTCTCAGTGATATGACAGGAAAAAGAAGTAACTCTGTTTTCTGACCCCAGTGTTTATAGATTCTCAGCAATGATCAGGGATTGGATAACTAAGTTATCACCTTCCCAATCACACTGGTCATGCAAAATGTCCATCAAAGAAGTTTCTCAGAAGGAATGTGTAAACAACTCATGTTTACAGTTACTTTCCTGGGAAAGTAACTAAAACTATGAAAACAAGATCAGAAGGCTTAGTTTTCAGGACACCACCATCAGATTTTTCACATCTTTTTGTCAAGAGCTTTTGTCTGTTTTGGCTAATGGAAAGACTTAATCATAATATCATCTCCTTTTAGAAGTTGCATAATGCTTCACCTGTACTGTACAGAAAACTCTTAATTTGCATAGTTTTAAGTCCTTGTTAGCATTTTAGTCTTTCATGAGGATTTTGAAGCTTTAATCAAATCTATGGATCTCTTACCTCGATGTAAAATAAGTTAAAAGTGTTCTTTCAGGCCAGCACACTAAACTTTCCTTTAACCACCACACTAAAATGTAGCTTTCCCTCACATACCATTATAGCTTGTCTTTTTTTGTGTGTGTGTCTTAAGAGAAGCTTTCAGTGAAAAAGGTAAAAAACAACTGCATTGTAATATATTCCCTCTCTTTTTTAAATCAAATATTTAGAGGAAAGTATTTTAACTCTGAAGGGACATACAATGAATTAAGTTGGCTGCATCTTTGAATCGTCATGTGGGTAATCAGTACTCTTTTCAGAATCATTACATACCCATTATTTTGACTGAGAATTCAGCTGTCTTCCACTTGTGCTTGGAGTCAGTTTTTATGGGACTGTTACTCTACAGTTTTTTCTAGAAAGTTCTGTTGCTAGCCTACTCTTCTGTCAAGGGCTGAAGTGAAAATAGTGTGGAAATTACACAAAGCATGTTTGTCCACTGCATTCATGCTATGTTCTAAGTAGCAGAAGGTAAAGACTTTTTCTTCTTAAATTGCGTTTTAAAGATTTCTTTTGTAAAAAGATGCTATGTTTTTTCCTTTGTTTTGAAGCTCTGACCTCTGGGCTCTGGGTTGCATAATATATCAACTTGTAGCTGGATTGCCTCCATTTAGAGCTGGGTAAGAGATTTGAGCTCATTATTACATGTGGATAATAAATATATTGTCTCTGATTGGATTGTTACCTTTCTACCAGCTCTGAAGTATTTTCATAATGCAGATCTGGTATTAATGTCATGCATGCTTTTATTTGTCATTTTTGATGTCATGAAGTTGCTTAGACAGCTATGACTAGAGTTCCTGTGAGAGAGATTCCTAAAGCTAGCCTAGGATTTCACATGTAATTTGTGCCATGATGGTAACTATGTAACTATATGTGAAGAGGTTTATAAGCCATATCCTCAACACTCTGTTGATTCATTTGAGCTTTTCTTGTTATTTCTCAAGTATCTGGTGATTATAGGATCATAGCACCCCTTCACCCTAGGAAGATTTATGGGAATGTAACTTGTAGATTTCTTGTTTAATATTTATTATCTTGTTTATTTATTATTAATAAGTCTGGGTTATTCAGGTTCCAGTGGAAGAACCTGGGAGAACTAATAACAAGAGTTAATATTTTTCTCTTCTGCAGAAATGAATATCTTATATTCCAGAAGATAATAAAATTGGAGTACGACTTCCCAGAAAAATTTTTTCCCAAGGCAAGAGACCTTGTGGAAAAGCTATTGGTAAATATTTGTGCTTTTCTTCTTGAATGCATTATGCTTGTCTTGGTCAATTTTATAACTGACCAAGTACCTAAATGCCTAATTTCTTGAACCAAGAGGTATCACTGAAATTGATTTGTCGTTAAATGGTTTGGTGACATTGGAAACATTCAACTTACGTAGTTCTCTTTTCTGAAAGTTTCTATGCACTCTTGCAAAACTTATAATAGAACATCTGTAAGCATTACTGATTGTGTAAGGGATGGTCTTGAAGATCAACATCTGTTATTGAAGAACACTTCATTTTTTTGATTTTTTTTTAAAAAAATCTGAATTCTAAAGTAAGGTCAAAGAGTGTCTTTTTGTGAAATGGAAGCAAACAATTCTAGATACTGTGTATTACAAAAAAAGTTAAGATTCAAATACTTAGTTCCTTGTTTTTGAGTTGTATAATGGATCATTTAGTTCGAAACAGCATTCTGTACATTACAGGCAGATATATTCATTCTAGTATCAATCCAGTTGCTAGCACTCACTTTACGTGTCTCAGTAGTATCAGCCTAAGAATTACTGTGCCTGTGAAGGTTTGACAAGAAGGAAGAAAAAGTGGTTTTGTTCCATCAGTGGGATTATAGTTGTGACACTCAAGTGAATATGCAGAGAATATTTTAGGTGTTAGAAGCTTTTTTAAGTTCAATAGTCTATCACATTAGCAGGGGATGAAGAGGAAACACTTACCGTTGTGGATGATGATAAATACAACCTAAAATGCCTATGAGTGTGTTCCTGTATTCAAGACCAGTTCTATGGCCAAGCCAGTGTCTCCTGAATGGTGAAGTCCAGGTTGTATTAAGCTGGTTGTATCCTGAGAACTGTGTCATTCTGAGGTGCTCGAGAGGTTGATAATTGACACCAACTATAGTTCCACAGCTTCTTGCATCATTAGAATGTGATGGTGTTCTAAAATGAGGTGTGCTTCTTCAGGCCTTCTCTGTATATTTGTTTCAGTCTTTACAAAGAAGCAAAGCCAAAAAATTGTGTGGACCTAAAGAAGTGCTCCTGTTCTTAGATCTGTGAGCTGATCTAATACAAAATGTTGTTGACAGGACATACTGACAAATAACATCTTTTGTTATAAACAACCTCCTTATATTATAGATATGTATGATTAGGACAGAGGGACAAACTGGTTTTACGTTTTCACATGGTGCTTTGCAAATGTGAATTAATGCTTGCCCTTTGTCATTATTTTATGCAGCTTAGCTTAATTTTAATTTGCTTAGGTTCTAGATGCTACCAACCGATTGGGTTGTGAAGAAATGGGAGGATATGGACCTCTTAAGGCTCACCCCTTCTTCGAATCCATTGTATGGGAGAACCTACATCTTCAGACACCCCCTAAACTCACAGCATATTTGCCTGCTATGTCAGAGGACGATGAAGACTGTTATGGAAATGTATGTTTGTCTACTGCTATATTCAGCTCTGATGCTGCCTGAGACTTCCATTATAGCATAATTATAGAATATTAATATAAATAATATAAATGTTAATATAAATATTTTCACTGAAACTACTGATTAGTTATATTTTAATGATTATTTTAATACTAAGAAACTAATAAAAATTGCTAGTTAAATTTTTACTTAAATCAGCATTTGTTTTCTGATAAAGTGAGTATTTCGAAAAAACAAGGCTGGCTTACTTTTGATCAATCATACTTTTTTGTGTAAATGTCTGCTGATCTATAGGGAACAGGGTGGGGTTTTGCCCAAAAGCAAAATAAACTAAAGCATGCTTAAATTAAAAGCCACAGTTTAGAAAAAATAAGCTTTTTAATAAAAGACATTTAATTAATTCATTTTGTTTCTTCCTTTAGTACGACAATCTCCTGAGTCAGTTTGGTTGCATGCAAGTTTCTAGTTCTGCCTCTTCCCATTCACTGTCTGCTGCAGAGACAAGTACACCACAGACATCAGGAGGAAATATTGAACAGTATATTCATGATCTTGACAACAATTCCTTTGAGCTGGATTTACAATTTTCTGAAGATGAAAAGAGGCTACTTCTGGCAAAACAAGCTGGTGGAAATCCTTGGTAGGGTCTTTGAATATAGCTAAATAACTTGCACACCAATAAAGAACCCTGAAAAATAAGTGATTTTGATTCAAATTAGTATTTGTTAGTCTTAGTATTTTCAAGTAAACAATTGGCAACTAGATTTTTCTTGGCTTCTCTTTTTAAAGCAGGTTTTAAAGCAAAACCCTAATATTTCTAAAATTTACAAGGTCTAGAAGATGATGTGGAGTGTGTTTATAAGATAGGCAGAATGACACTATCCAGTGCTGCTGAGTCTTTGCTCTATGGTCCTAGAACTAGAAAAGGTTCCTCTTTTTTTATGGATGCCATAAGTTATTGGAATTTTTTGCGTTATAATATTCTGTGGATATCTAACCAAAATAGCTCCAGACTATGTAACAGCATTTCTTTTCACTCTTTAGAGAAGTCTCTCATTTGTGAATTTTTGTCATTGTTTTTGTTCCGTGGGCAGGTGGAAGGGGTAGCATTTTGTTGGTTAGTTGTTTGGTTTGTTTGGGGTTTTCTTGTTTCTTTTTTGGTGCTGTTCTGTTTGGTTTTATTTTTTTCTTTTTGGGTTTCTTTGTTTTGTTGGGTTTTTTGTTGTTGTTGTTTGGGTTTTTTGGTTTTTATTTCATTTTTTGTTTTGGTTGGTTGGTTTTTTTTACCCCTGTCAAATTTCAGAAAAAACTCTCTGGTCTGGACTAAGGAAGAGTCCAAAACTCCTGTACTAAAGTTGTTCAGGACTCTCATGGAAAATTACATGTTAGGAAGTGACATGAAAAGCCGCTTGATCATTACAGCTGTTTCTGAGAAAGCATTACTTCTGGAGTAATAGTTATTTTCCTTTTTCTAAGGCATCAGTTTGTAGAGAATAACTTAATCCTAAAAATGGGTCCAGTGGACAAAAGAAAGGTAAGGGCTTTTCTTAATTTCCTGTAACAAGATTGAGCTGTCAAATTTTTGCACACTTGCAGTGTAGATGAAGCAGCCTGTTTTAAAGCTTCTTTGTTTAAACAATTTGTCACCTATAAACAAGTTATTTTTAAAAATTCAGTGTTTTCTTGTGATAGTTTTTTTTCTTAATTTATGATTTTTCTGCTTTTGTGATGTGCTTTTGATTTCTTTGAAAAGCCTAAGTAAATCTGCTATATAATTTTGAGATTGTAGAAAATAAGTGTTTGCTTGTCCTCTTCCTCCCAATCTGATATAATCTAATAAACACTCTTTCTTGATGCATGTCTGAATGTGGTTTGAACCACAAATAACAAAAAATTATGTACAAGCCCATTTTTTTTCTCAACTGTGGTTTTTTTCATGGATCTGACTTTGTGCCTTTATCCTTAAAGAGGCAGAGGTGTTGTTAGAACAGCTTAAAGTGTTAGCTTCAACAGTTTACAGATAAGCAGGGTGCATCAGCTTTAGACAAAAGAGAATCTTCTTTCCTCTAAGTTACTACCTGCTTCTTTGTAGTCTTTTCCACAAAATCATGACTACTGATTTCTGTGAAAAACAGATTCTGTTTCACTCGGTACTGCTAGGTGGTTTATATTTTGTTAAAATTTGTAGATACTTTCCTAAAATAGTACTTGTGTTTTGCCATGTAGTAGAAATGCACTGCAACACCCTAAAAAAGGAGTGAGGTCAAATAGGTATAGAAAAATTAGACACACACACCCCCCAAACACAAATATACCATCCTAGCACTGAGCTGGTTTTATTCTGCCTTTGTTGTTCAGTTCAGAGATGTGTAAATTTAAATTTTTATTTCCCTCATGTTTTTTTTGCTTTGCTGCTTCTGCTTTTCTTGTTAGGGATTGTTTGCACGTCGGCGCCAATTGCTGCTTACAGAAGGGCCTCACCTGTATTATGTGGATCCTGTCAATAAAGTTCTAAAAGGAGAAATTCCATGGTCTTTAGAGTTGCGTCCCGAAGCCAAGAATTTTAAGACATTTTTTGTTCACACGGTAAGTTTCTTTTCTGAATTTATTTGTAAATTGCTCTAAGGTCCTTGGGCAATTTCTGTAAGTTATCAAAAATATTTTTCTGGAGAAAGTATAATTGCTTAGATATAAAGTTTCGTAGTCCTAATTTAAAACAAAACTAAACAAAAACATTAACAAAGTCAACCAATAAAAAAGGACAAAATCTATACCCCCCAAACAAAATCAAATAATAATAAAACAAAAATCATACGAAAACTCACTCTGGTATACATGTTTATCACAAAAATGCAACTGTATTTTTATTATTAGGGTTTAAATAAGCCATAAGTTTTATGGGTTTTGTGGGATTTTGGGCTTTGAAGAATGTTCTTAAGGACTTCTAAAATTTAGCCCCCTTTGTAGTGAATCATGAGAGGTGTATAATATATTTTCAGTTGACTGCTTAAAAATATTCAGGTGCTAGATATATAGTTAATCAGTAATATATAATTTATATAGCTGTAATTGAATTTAACTTTCAGAAAGTTAATGAACTAATTTTGGATAATTACTGATAGGTGCAGAATTACTACTGCTTTTTGGTTAAACTTTGTTCGGAATAATCATTAAAATGTTGTTCACTTATAGCCAAACAGGACATATTACCTGATGGACCCAAGTGGGAATGCTCATAAATGGTGCAAAAAGATACATGAAGTTTGGCGGCACAGATACCACCAGAATGCTGCAAAATAGTAAAGCTCATCCAAAATTTCCCAGTTTCCCTACTTGCTGCTAGAACTCCGTGTGCAGCCGATCAGAGGAATCTTTTCAGCCCACCTATTACCATCTCAAGGGGAAGCATACGTCTGAAATGTTCTTGGGAGTTGTTTTTTTTTTTGGTGTTTTGGGTTTTTGTTTTTTATTTTCTTTTGTTTGTTTGGGGTTTTTTTGTTGGTTCTTTTTTGTTGTTGTTTTTGGGGTTTTTTGTGTGGGTTTTTTGGTTTTGGTTTTTTGTGGTTATTTTTTAAGAAGAAAAAAAGGAAGAAAATCAAAAACCTAATGGAATTCAGGGTTGCTTTGCTCTCTCTCTTCGTGCTTCTGTTGAGGCTTCCACATGCATATCATTGCAGTGAACATCTTGCTTTTGTGCACTCCAGTTTCTGCTGCAGACTAGTAGACAGACCTTGCATTACCAGCCTCACTTGATTTAAAACAAATCCACACGCACACACACCAAATCATGTACCAGCCTTGCATTTTATAGGGCTGGAGTCTTCTGTGACTTTCAGATTATCATTTAACTGTGTTTCATCAGGGAGCTTTTTTATGCCTCTCCTAAGTACCACCTCTTTGTTTTCCTTTCCTCGCAGTCCCCCAGCTTACTGGTATATGGCATTTGTAGCCAGGTCAGTTCACTCTTGTGTAATTCCTAACATAGTTCTGGTTGCAGGATTTGTGTGGTACTTTTGTAATTATGTGAATGAATCAGATGTATTTTTCTGGCAGACAGGCTCCAATGATAAAGCTTTTGAGAGAGTAAAATGCTGAACATAGCACTGAAATTTCTAAAACTGAAATGTTGGCTTCTGAAGCATTTTAAACATTAAGTCTAAATTTTAATATAAGTCATATGTGTGTTTAATCAAGGGACAATAAACTTACAAGCATGCTTTTAACTAGTGCTAACTAAAACAAAAACTAGTTAGTATGGGGGAGAAAAGGCTACTATTGAAATAGTAAATAGTTTTTCACCTTTTCAGCAAATGAGGGCTAGAAGCTTTCTTTCCAGGGTGTGCATGTGTTGTGCATTTTAGTGGGGCCAGCCTATTTAATTGGGTAGAGAAGGAAGCGTGAAAACTTTGTACAATTGACAACCTGACCTTTTTTTTGTCTCATTGGGTAGTGAGATGTCAATTCTATTTTTGGTCCTTGGCCAAACATTCAGGAACTCTGGAAAAAATGCAAGGAATTGAAATATAGATAATAAAGTAATCTGGTGAGAAAATCAAAGGCAAATATTGATACAAAGAGGAAAATATATGGTACTAAAAGCATATCTATAAAATGAAAATATTTTTCATATCGATCTCCTTTATACTCTTCAAATTATGACTGTTTTTTGTGGTCAAACATTTCTTGTTTGTCTTTGTTACAAAGACACAGCTTCCTGTGTGCTAAAAAACTCCCCCAGTGATATTTTCAACATGCCTGTGTTCCTAAACCTTGCAGAGGGGAATGACCTAGGTCTGGACAAAGGCATTCCTTCCTTGTTTTAAAAGCAGTGTAAACATTACCCCTATTCATTCACTCACTACACATACCATTACTCTGCATTTTGAGTTGTCATTCTATGATGTGTTCTTCCTTCCACCAAAGAAAGGTTTCTCTACAATGTTGAAAAAACTTATAGGCTACTGTTTTCAAGAAGCAGTATTTTAAAAACAGTGGTTTATCAGATTTCTCAGAAAATACATGAATGTTGAATATTTTCTTGTACAGGGTGAAGGAGATTTATTACTGATCTCTTAAAAAACTGTTATGTGGTTGAACTTGATGGCAGTTCAGCTTTACTCGTCTTTAGAAGAGACAGTGCAGTTGCCTTTTCTTTTGGAGCAACTGTATTCCTGTCCTCTGTATCCCTCCACATACAAAAACCTGAGAGAAGCAAATCCCTTGCTTACTGTGTCTGGTGTTAAGGGAGAGAAGGGGTCCTGTAAATGGCTGAGATGAGGAAGACAGAAAAGTGTTCCCTTTGCATCATGATAAATTTCATCACATACAAAATACACTCCTTGTTACTCAAATTCGAATAGCACAGTGCACCTTTGATCTATGTCTGTAGTAAGCTATATGTTCCATTCTAATCAAGGTGCCATGTAATTTAAGTCTGTTGCAGTGCTATCCGTTTGTTCTCCAGCTGTCAAATTCTGGCCATGTGTTGTGTCCACTGGAGGCAATCCTACCACTTTCAGTTTTAGTCTCTGGTGTAGAGATCTAAAGAGACATATTCCCAACTTACACAGGAGAGTTTGGCAGTGATGGAGATTCACAGTGCCACCGCTGTTCAATGTGTGACATAACTTGGTCTCACATAGAAAGTCTGGCAAAATGACCTCCATTGGCTTTTTAACTAGGTAGAAATCTAGGTGTGCTTAAACATGTTTTCTGTAATACTTAGATTTTTACCATAGCAAATTAATTGTTTTTTCACACCTTGAAAATCTTCTCTCAGTAGACTTTCATTGTGCCCACCAAAGGCTTTCAGCGAGCCAGATCTTGGTAGCAGTAAGCTGTCAAGAAGGTATCAGAAGGTTGATGTCTGCATCCTAGAAGTCTTTTTTTTTTTTTGGGTTTTTTTTTGGGTTTTTTTTTTTTTAAATTTACAATGCTGTTATTGGAGAATGGTAAGCATCTTTTAGAGTAATCACTCCACTTAAAACTTCAGTATTCCTAATCCAGTTTTACTTAGCTACTGCTTTTTTTGGGAAGGAACTAGAACTTTCCTGGGAGAGGTATTTCTATTTCTTGTACTACATGTAGAATCTGTGGGTTTGAAAGGTGGGAAGAGTATGGAGTGAGGCATCACAAAGCATTTGCGGATTCAAGTATCAGTTTGTCCACTTAAATGTGTGTTGACAGGTGCTGCATACAATGGAGGGCTAATACCCATTTTAAATGCTTTTGCCTGATGTGGGGTAAATTAATATCTTTGTCCTGAAAATCACTTCTGTGGTTCATGGGAGTTCATGGAATGAAATGTGCAAGGGAAGTTCTTCAGAGCTGCACATAGGCCAGGTGATTTTTCTGCTTTTAATTCAGGGTTTTCAAAGCAGAAAAAAAAAGAAATGTAGGTACTTGAAGACTCTTAAGATTCCTCCTTATGCAGACCATACTGAAAACCCAGTATGTTGATTCATTCCATCTCTTGCAATTTGAACAATTGCCAATCATTTATGAAGAATTTGGTCAATAATGTAATTTTGCTTTGAACTTGTATTTGAACTTTAGAAAGGTATTTATTCCATTTTTTTCTCTGGTGTGGCGTTTAAGAAAGAATGAAGTACTACTGCCCAGTCACAAGTTTTAGACTACTTTATTTAACTGAGAAATCCGTTTGTTTCCATTTGCCTTAGAGTCCAGTTTGTAAAGGTTTTGTATTAAGAAAGAGTTACTTCAGATGTGATGTTGAGGCATTGTTAGCAAACTGATATTACCTATTAAGATTCCATTTGTTAGGCATTTAGATGCTGAAAAGATAAAATTATCAGTGCTGTGTTCTACTTTTCTCCTTCTGACATGATTTAATTGTGAAGTATCTGCTATAGATGTCTGAAAAGAATTGTGGATTGCAACAAAGATGTGATGATTCTAATCAGCGTTCATAGTTCAAGATGCTTAATTTAATGTGCTTGATACAATTACATTTTGTGCCGTGAATTTTGAAAAATTACCAGAACTTCATACATGTAAATTTTCTTTTGAATGATATAGTAAAGTCAGAACAATTACTTCATTTGGCCTGTGGACAAAACATTTGATTTTATCACCTTGCTGAGGAGAAAACTTGTGTATTAATAGTTGCCCAAAGATGTAGCCTCTGGATGGATTCTGATCATTCTTTCTATTAGTAAATGGCACAGATAGGTATGGTATTTATATCTGAAATTTTCCTGAATGCCTGTAATACTTCATGGAAATATTTTATGAATCAAATGGAAATAATCCAGCAAAGCCTCGTGATGCAGACTGTCCATCAGTTGATCAAGTGAGCTTATAGACAAGTCGTTCTGTGACCCAAAATGGCATGTTTTTATTTATGATTGATAATTTCAGAATGTTTCCTCTTTCATAGAAGAAATGACTGTTATGCAGCAAAGAGTTGGAGAGGTTCTGAAGCTCCCAATAGCCTGGTTTTAGAATAAATAGAATATGCTGAATTGGAAATGTCATCAAGTCCAACTCCTGGCCCTGCACAGGACTCCCCAGCAATCCCACCATGTGCCAGACACCTTCTTGAACTTGGGCAGGCTTGGTAGTGT